TTTGATACAGCCCTATTGTACGGATAAAACCTACTATTGTCCGGGCCATATAATAGAGGATCCTATATAACCCTGGATTGGCCCGAACAACACCATGTCTTATCCGTATAATAGTAGAGAAAAACTACTAGCCTCAATCGTGAGTTGGTAGCTTTTTCCTCCTATTGTAAGGATAAAACATAGTGTTGTTCGGACCAATCCAGGGTTATATAGGATCCTCTATTATATGGCCAGGACAATAGTAGGTTTTATCCGTACAATAGGACTGTATCAAAACGGGGTACTAGTCAGATTGACCACCCCCATATGTATTCCAAGTTTGAAAACTGTTTAAAAAGTGATAAAAATGTTTAATAAATGATATAATGAATGGTTTCATATGTAGAATAGCAAGAGTAGATCTATTCATCTTTTACTCTTCAGTTTTAAATATGATATGAATTTTCGAAATCATGTATAAATATTATTTTCAGCAATCATATGCTACGAAATCTAATCAAAAAAAATCTCCACATATTGCTTGCTGAAAAATACAAAAATACACATAACCAAACTCTGACTTTCGTAGCTTGTGCAATTAATACTGCTATGCACTGTGATATACTCTCATCATCCTTATATATGGAGGAGTCCTGAAATTTAGAATCATTGAATTTGTACTATGTAGTCTCGTGTACTCTAATAAACTCTTTCTCATGATCCTATATATCGGGTATGGGTGAAGAGAAGATCATAGCCGATATCCACACTAATGCTCAATATGTAGGATAATGAGATTGCATATCTTATTGATAGAAATCTGTGAGTAGATGAAAGTACAGATTATATTTATATCTGCGAAACTTAGTGTGAATTGAAATAAAATTGTTATATTTAGTGGCTATGAAAATTGTTCAGTGATGTTTATTATCAATTGTTCTCTGTAACATTAAACACTAAGAAGACTCCTAACAATGATTCTAGTACAAAAAAATGTTCCCAATAAGAATATTAAGAAGTTTTTGTGCTCAACTTCTTGAGCTTTTCCTACGGACTGACTAGCCAAAAGAGTAGGTGTACATTATAATTTAGCCAACATGCTGAATAATGACAACCGCATAATGTTCAGAAATAAAAATGAGTTCCTAAATTTACAAAGATGAGGTCTTCAGAAAACCGAAAACATAGTTTTTCAGCACTTTGAAAACGAAAATAAAATTTCTTTCACACTACACGAAATGATAGAACAAACAATTCTCCAAAAAAAAAGCTTTTCTTCGGTAAGATATAGCAACCTTACGGAAGCTTTTCTAATCGATTTTTTTTCATTTCCTATAGAAAAATTATTTTTGAATCTTCAAGTAAATTGCTTTATCACAGCCAAAAAATGTTGTAGAAAACTTGGAAACATTTCATTTTGTAGAGAATTGTTTTCTCTATTGTTCTATGTAGTCTGAAGGACGAAAAAAAAATTTCGTGTTCTAAATGCTGAAAACTTAAGATTTTGATTTTCTGGAGATCTTGTTTTTGAGAATTGAGTGATTCATTTTTTGTTTGTTTATAAAACAATTTTCTCTATTTTTAACGTTTCAAGATTGCAAAAAAAAAATTAATGATAAACTTTATTAAGTAATTTTAGTAGCTACTATATTTTCGACTTTATTTGTTATAATAAATCAATTATTGTAGATTATAAATCGCAAAAAGCCTAATGCAACCTTATCATCCATTTTTTCCAAATTATCCACCTCCACCAATACTTACACGTGAATCAATAATAAATGAAGGTTTAAAAATATTTGAACAACCAAAACATGATGAACAATGGTTAAAAAATTGGATTGAAAGAAAAAAAGAAGAAAAACAATTATCTTCTAATCGAATCACATTATCTAATTATCGTCAAAAATTAATTCAACATGCTCATCTTCTTAAACAATATGAAAATGCTTTAAATATTTCTAATCATGAAATTTTATCTGAATTAAAAAATAAAATTGAACAATCAAATAATTTTATATATAATTGTAATAATATTCAAAATATTCAAAAACAAATTCATCAAAGAAAATTAAAACGTTCTCGTCTTCGTCGTCAAAAAGAAAAACAATTAATTCCTAGAAAAACTAATATTATCGAAGAACAATCAATAAATGAAAAAACTTTAATTGAAAAAATTAAAGATATTAATTCAATACTTCAAACTATTGAACAATTAAAAAAATTAAGATATACACGTCAAAAACGACAACAAAATAATATCAATACTATTACAACAACTAATAATACAGATAATGAATTAATAGAAATTCAAAATATATGTATTGATAAATTACATGAATATAAAACTGAAATAGAAAAACAAGCAAAATCTTCTCATATAGAATTATATAATTATCTTTTTAATAATAATAATCGATCATTTTATGAATCAACAAATATTGATGCTCAAGATTTTTTACGAGCTCATCAAAATATAAATAATTTAGTGCAAATTCGACAAACATGGGATCAATATTCAAGTACTCATATTAATTCTTTAGATAATATGATTCCATCTCAATGGTATGAACCACAATTTCCTTGTGATTCTAATTGGGCTCGATATATTTTCAATAAAAAAGAATAAATATTCTATTTTAACATCAATTGACATAATATTCGTGGAATTCTTTATTATAACTGATCAAATAGAGACTAACAAGTGAGTCATTAAATTAAACAAAATCATACAATTAGAACAATAAATTTAGTTCATTCGTGCAGACATATATAATGGATGTATCAGAATAAATGAACTTCTCAGTATATTCTCAATATCATTGTTAATTTCAATAATTACAAATTAAAATGTACTAAAAAAGTATTATACAAACATTGCGAACATGTATTATTAATACCTTTCAAGTACAAATACATAAATTGATTTGGACTTTTAACTCATTAATAAAAAATTATTTAAATATTTCAAAGTATCATCTCAGGTACAATCAAGTGTGCTCGATTAATGATCGAGTCTTTTGTATAGCACGATCTAAAAGGAATTTTGAAGTATAAGGGTAGAAATTTAGATCTCCCGCTTCGACAAAAGATGTGTCAAATATTCTTAGCAACGCTATCAATTCTCTCCCAAGCATTGCAGTCCTATGAACTACTTTCTTATTGAATTTCTGGAGAATTAATTAATCTCTCTATGATTAGCAACAACAACTATGTCGTGTTTCACATTTTAATCTTGTAGGGATAGCACTAGCAGCGTTTTTTGCTTGAATCTTATTGAAAGAAAAAGTATTTATTTTGAATCAAAGACCAAAAACGAATCGAACAGAGCCGAAGTATAACGGTTTGGTTTAGTCTCTATTCGGAATTAAATAGATCTCTATAACATGACTACTTAGCTTTTAAATAAAAACAAAATTTACTTCAAAAAAAGAATTTATGATAAAGTTATATTAATTTTTCAAGAATATGAAATACTACAGTAAAAAAAAAGCATTTTTTTGTGAAAATTTAAAACAGTAAAGCTTATTTTGTATGACAGAGATTTATTGTAGAAATTTATAAATCTACCTATACGGTGGAGCATTTCAAACGCTATAAAAATGCATTAGATACAAGAAAACAGATTTTTCTATTTGAAGGTTGTTGGAGGTACAGATTTGTAGAATTGCTGTTTTACTTTGACTTTTATGGTACACATTTGTCTATGGTTTTATAGAGAATTAAAACACAGGGTCTTTTAAAATGAAACTTTATCTTTAACTATATTATATCAGTGTGGAAGAGAATATTAAGGAATATTTACAAATATAATTATCAATAGATCTAACTGCAATATCGGACCTTATTTCTTAGTCGTAATATGTCAGATTAACATTTTTCTTTTGTTTGACATTGCAAAAATGAGAGAACAAATCAATTTGACAAGTAGTTGCTTCTTAGAGTTAATCTGTGATATGCGAGAACTAACGTGAAAAGACATAACATAAATATTTTATACGTTATTAAAAGATAATAAATTCAAGGATGTAAATAAATTAGAATAAATTTTTTTTTTATTATATGTGATAAAATAATCGAAAATGATGTTGTTTTAAATAAATATACTTTTTTAAAAGTGCATTCAGTTCAAGATTCTTGTTTTGACATATATTGAATTTAGTATATTTAAAATAATATATTTTTCTGTGTTAAACGAAGAGAAAAAATGTTACTTGTTCTATTGAATTTTTTGGTACCAATAAAAACCCGAAGTACTTGACATTTATTAAAATGCTGAAACTATTTTATGAAGATTATCACATATAAAGTTTGTAATTCTACTTATTTTTCGATAAAACATGAATAATTCGTTTTTGTTTCATTTCAAATCTTTCAAAACTAAATTTAATTAATTTCTCTTTTTTAGAAACTAACAAATGAACCGTCTTAATCAAACGATATATACATACGTGAATAGTTCTATTTTATTAAATAAAAATACTCAAACTTATTATTTCAGTGTTTACTATATTCATAAAAAAAAAATGTAAACATCAACTAACAGTAGAGATAGTTTAAATTACCGGATTTTTTTTTTACTTGTCTCATATCTTGAATTAGACTGCATTAGAAAGTTTGCCTCGAATGCTAAAAGATGAAGACTTCTATGTAGATTATATTCATATGTTCTTTTTTTTTTTTAAATAAAGGTATATATTGTTTTTTTTTTTGCATGCTAAAACGTGTTGGATGACTGAAAAACACCAACTGCTCAACAACAACATCAGGAACGTATAAAAACCATTTTTTAATTATTGTTCACAGGTGAAGAAGTCCTACTTTTCTTAGAAGATTTTATTAAAACTTATTCTGACAAAAGTTTATTCTTTTTCACACAATGAAATGCATAGTTTCAATTTCTACAAAGTGGTCTTGTTCAAAAGAGTCGATCTCTTTTATTTTTCTTATCGAATAAGAAAGCTGAAATATTTTCATCGGCAAAAACTTGTGCGAAAGATAGATCATTCGGTATATTTTGTAGTTGACTATCAAAATAGTACAATTCAATTTTAAGAATTATGGTTTTGCGACTAGAAAACAAAAGAGGTGCTTGTACATTGAAGTAGGTCAGATCGAGAACCAACCTGATGAGTTCTATTGTATATTTTCATAATCTATTTGAATAGCAGATAAAGAAATTATTAAACAAATAAAAATGATACTTTATTCTAATCAAATGCTGACGAGGGAACTACTCGAGCGGATATTCGTCGTTTGAACTCATATTGGATTCACAAGGAGGTCTCGATAAGACTAAAAACATCCTAAAATGACTCGTACTCATGAAAGTTTTTATCTGGAGTTTCACCCATAAATAGGTCTGGATGATTTTGAGAATATGCTGAAGGTTTCCGTCAGATAGAATGTTCCTTTGTCGAAATATTGCATTTCCAAAAAACAAAATATTTGTTTGCTACAAAAATTGAGTTTACTTGAAAATTTAATATCTCAACAAAAGAATATTCTTCTTAACTAAAACCTTTAACTTATCTATGAGCCAAATTTCAGATCGAAACACCTAAAGCTGAATTGAAAATTCAGTAAATAATCATAAATTAGCTCTAGAGAGACGCATGGAAACGAATTCTTTTAGAATTTTTCTCCTCTTACCGAGACCTTCTTGTGGGTCTAATGTGATTTCAAATAACGGGTATTACTTAGGATAAATCTCTCGTAAGCAAGTGATGTATTTTGTGGTATCCAATACTTTTTAATTTAAAAAATAACGATACATTCTTATTTAACAAAAAAAACAAACAAAAATTTTTATCTTTAATCATCAAAAAAAAAAGTCTTTCTGATTCAGTTTAATTTAAGAAATAAATCTAGCAATAGTCGGCAATTTAATCAACTCCTCACCCATTAATAATATATAAGCATATTAATAAAAGTGTACTATGTTGACACTAAGGCCATATTTTGTTTTAAATATTATATTTTCTATCAATCATATCATTAAAAACGTGATATTTATCTTGATTACTTAAGATCTGAAATAGTCGAATAGATGAATATTTTATGATATTATTCTATTATTACTAAGATGCTTTTAATGATGACAATGAATACAAATATTTTATTGACTACTTGGGTCATATCTTAGTTGTATAGATGATAGGATTATCTATCTGTATGACTATTACTTGAATAAAATATTCTTTTTTGATAGTTTATTAATTATATCAAAGTCTACTACAATTAAACCTTTATCAACTATAAAAATCGAATAATATTTTAAATGTCAATATAAATTATATCTACTGTCGCTTTTTGTTTTGTCTTGTGAAAAGAGAAAAGAATTAGTTTTTATCAATAATCGATATTGACAAAAAGAAAAACTTCATTTTATCTGAATATTAGTGAACTTTGTTAATCATATCAAGTGTACGTCTTATTTCTATAGTATAGATCGTTGAAAAATTGTCGTTCGCTTGTGGCATCATTAAAAAGAAAAAGCAATAGGAACTGAACGGATGATGATGACAACAACGAGTAATATATGTATTTGCCAATTGAATTATGAATGTTATTGAGAGAAATTCATTCATCCGTCCGTTACGACCTCCATATTGTTTCGGCTACATAGTTTTTTTTTCTCTTTCTTTTTCGCTATCTGTAAAAAAAACAGAGAAGCCAAGGAGGAAATAGCGAAAGAGAGAAAATCATCATAACATCCATCGATAGACAGATTACAAAAAGAAACGAGAACAAGAAGAAACCTGTCGATTGGTTTGTTTCATTTTATTTTTCAAAAAAAAGAAGAATTTGAATCGTTATCAAACAAAAACTCAATTCATAATCAATATGTTCGATTGAATAATGTTCTTTATTTATTATCAATCAAATAAAACATAATGGGTTGTATTCCATCTAAAAAGAAATTAACCAAAGCAGATTTAGAATTTCTTCAAGAAAATACGGAATTTACAAAAGATCAAATTATGGAATGGTATGAAGGTTTTATTGTAAGTATTTTTATAAGAAAAAAAAAAAAAAAAAAAAGAAGTTTCTTTTTAATTATCTTTATACATCAAATAATCATATGGTTCATCAGTAGCATAAAATATCTTTTCCTGTAGGGAATAAAAATGGCAACTGACTAATGTTCAAGTTTCTCATGTGTTCTATTCATGCTTATTCTCTTTTTTTATATGGTACATCTCTCTAATAAGAGACCATGCGAGCCAACTGACTCTGACTTCAATCGAAATATAATGTTTTTTGTCTTCCTAAATAAAAATGAAAAAAAAAAAGAAAATAATTATCATATATGTATCTTATTAATAGAGAAAACGTTGAAATGGTAAAGTCCAATTGTATCTATATAGAACAATTGATAAAAGGAAATATTAGACACATGTCATTATTTTTTTTAAAAACAACCACTGATTTTGATTCTTTTCTTATAGGATTTCTCATGATAATAGAAGAAAATGATTTGAATAGCTGATTTTTCTTTCTGAGATTCCCTTTTCAGGATGTCTCTCGTTCGTAGATCACATCGATTGCCTATAGTTTCTAAATGAGTCTAATATATACATAGGAAAAGAAGGAAATGTCATCGACAAAGAATGAAGACCGATTAAT